CTGGCTGGGAAATTCTTAGCCATCACACTAGCATCTTCTCCATTCATTCCAGCCCTAGGAAAAATAGGACAAAAGATGCTTTGTAGTGATGTGCAGAATGGTCTATTCACAGAACAGTTATGTGGGGAAGGGGGTGAGCCAGACCTACACTGGACAGGCATGGACCCAAAACATGTGTTCTACATGGTTGTGTCATGGGGTAGGGAGACCAGGGGAAAGGTGAGGTCATCAGTAGTGGTTAAGGAGAGGTAGTGAAGAGAAGCCATTGGGAAGATCAGGGAGAGGGGTGGGCATGCTTGCATTCAAGTGCAGTGCTTGCATTCAAATGCAGCAGTAGGCTAAAGGAAGAGGGAAGACATTGGGAAGATTGGGTGAAGGGTGATGTCAGGTCTTACCCCATAAGCCACATATAAGCAAGATCACAATAAAGCCCTCACTGTAAATAAGTAATAATTATTGAAGAAAATAGGAAACCACAATCAAAATCACCTCTGTGATTCAAGAATAAGCCCTGTACAGAGAAACAGTGTTGAAAACTTGTGTAGTCCCCACCCCCACCCCGTACATAAAAGACTATTTGGCCCACTCTTTAGCATTGGCTGCTCTGTCTCTATCTGTCTTTTGTTTCTCTAATGGTCAGATTTGGTATCATATTGTTTTTCCTTGACTTTGAGAATTAATTCTCAAAAGCTGACCAGCCACTGACCTTGAATTCAAGGGCAGCATATCCAGCTGGCCTGACTGCTCCTCCTTCAGTCTTCCCAACCCTTTCCTTTCTCCACCTCCCCTTAGCCCTCATATGTCATTGCCCTTCAGTTGCACCATGGCTGCCTGATTATGCCATGCCTTATGCCATGCTTGAATTCAAGGGTGGCTAAGGGACGGTGGGGAAAAGAAGATTTTTGGAAGATTGTAGTTGGGCTAGTGCACAGGCATGCAGAGGTAGTAGAAGGATGAGGATCAACTTATTTGTCAGACACCTCCTCTGGATTTGTTTTGGCCAAAGCCTGGAATAACCAAAATGTTCTGGACTTTTGTTCAGCCAAATTGCCACCCACTTGGAAAGGTTCTAGTGCTTTGGATCATTCTGCCCAGAGCCAAGAAATACACAACTTGACAATCCTTGTTCCTGTCCTGAAATACAAGAGGTATCTGTGCAATTATGCCATTTGCAATTATGCAAGCTGAGAAGATTTTAAGGAGAAGTTCCCTTATAAAACCAGGGAAGTCAGATCTCTTTGTTTAAATGAAGTTTCTTGGGAAAAGGAAAATACAAGGTAATAAGGGAAAGCAGAATTGTATACATAGAATTCCAAATGAAATGTATACCCTAGCTAAACTACTTAGTATTATCTGCTTGATTAAGCTTTGGGATATCTGCACACGTTCTGAGTTTATTGAACAGAGGATGACTGGAGAGTCTTCAGCTATCCTCTATTGGGTCTTCTGCTTGGATATTGGTAGGCAGTTCCTTCTGAGTCTGATAGAATATCCAGGATAACTGGAAGCTCTCCTCTTTGAGGAGAGTGTTCCTTGATCAAATCAAGGAAAATGTTCCAATTCTGGTAAACCGGGTCTAGCCAGCAAATCAGACATTATGTAAAGGCTCAACCCAGCTACCTAATGATCCTTGGTGATGCAAACTAGCTTAAACCTTTCTTTCCCTGTTGAATAAAATAGATTACAAAGAAGAGGCTGAGTGGGGGGCAAAAGTTGAATTGCATTTATTCAGATTATTCAGCAACGAATCAGCTTACCCAATGTTTTATGAAGCACTGTTGTGCCATAACAAAATATCAGTCAATCTCCATTTACCTTCTATTCTTCCTTATCCCTACTACTGTATTGCTGTTCTTTTCCTTGCTCAAACTACTTCATGTTCACAGTCAATATTTTATAGAATGACTAACATTGAGAGATGCTGCAGTGTTTGCTAACTGTGTACAGAACTGCTGGAAGATGAATTATGACATACACAGTAAGCCCCAAAGCGCCACAAGTTCTAGATAGACAAGAGGCCAGTGGCTGTACCGTACAATAAATGGCTGGCTAGTCAAGGCTGCAGCCAGACACTATTCTGAGTGCATACATTTCCCCAATTTTGATTGATAGAGAGCTAAAGCAAGAAGATGCTGCTTTTGGAGGGTTATGACTAATGAGGGGATTACAGCCTAAATTGTCCAGTCCATGTCAGACTTTTATGGTGCATGGGTGATAACCAAGCAAAAAGGAGGATGGAGTAAAACGGGATAGCGGGATGGAAAAAACGGCAAGACAGGCAGGAAAATAGAATTGCTAAGGAGGAAGGACTGGAAGCATATTGTCCAGAAGCCCCTCTACCTTGACACTGCTGCTGCAGTGGGTAAGCAGATAATAGAACACTGTCTTATATCCCTCAGGCTGTTCTATCTGTCGAACCCAAATAGGACTCTGTCCGATTGCTTGGAAAGCAAATATTATACCACTGAGTTATGTGCCAAAAGTTTATGGCTGTGGTCTGCCTTCTGAAGGTAAGTTGCATAGCAGCCGAAGAAACGTTTGGTTGCACAGCTTTTGGCTTCCAGTAGTTTGGCAATTTTCAGCAACATTTTCCTGCCTGCCTGAGGTATTCCTATGGGCATGGTGGATAATGCTGTATTTCCTTCCTTGTTTTGTAAATGGATGATATTGAGAGGATTCTTGGTAGAGAATCGGAGCAGGAAGTGGGGCAGGGTGTTTGTTATAATTTCCCTTAATTCTCACCTCTGTATGTGTACAACATACAACAGGTGGGCATAGAAATAAAAAGTTTCTTGCAAGCTGTATAGTTACTTCAAAGAAGCGTATACAGTGTATCATGATGATATTATGAAGGAATATTTAAACTTACACACAGGATATACAAAATTGATTAAGAATACTGAATAAAACCCAAATAGAAATTATTCGTGCTAAAAAAACAGTTTGCAGATTCCCATTGTTGCTACACAGTTAAGATACATGGAGATCTTGTCTCATTCCTCTTATTTTCCATGTCTCTAGTGATTTGTTAAGACCACAGTACAGTATGTTGATCACATCTGTTCATAGTCCCTTCAAACCTCTTCTCATGGGGTTGGTTAGCTTTTCTCTGTATGCTTACTTGGGTTTGTTCCCATTATTCACATCTATGTCCCCAAGGCCTCCTATAACCTTGGTAGAGGATAGAGTGATTTATGAAATACAAACTGTATTTATTGTAATTTAAAATTTGTTGCCATCTCCTGTTTTATAATAATTTTCTTGCTGAAAATGAAACTACTGTACAGCCGCTTTCTAGATCCCATTCCAATTACCAGTTTCAGTTCCTGATGTACATATTGTCCTGTAACTAACTCATATCTCTAATTGAACTAAAGTGCAAAGATTTAAAATAAGTTCATTCATGCAGATCACCTAGCAAAGAGTTCTGGGAGAGTTTCAGGCACAGATTCCTTAAGGCCCAAAAAATAATATTGTAGCTTCTGATTGACTACTGTATTCTTGTCTCAGCTGCTCAGTTCCAAAGGAATTTTTAACTTAAGGAAATAAACCCTAAGTAGCTCTTTCAAGGAAACAGGGGCTTCCAAAAACATTAACCCAACAACTCTAGCATGACACTACATGATTTGTGTAAGGCAATTGAATAAGCTTCAAAACTACTGTAAATAAAAGTTTATATCAAGGTACAGTAAAACACTGCACAGGCTCTTCTGGTGTCCTGGCTAAGCAGAAGGTTCAGTTGGAGCTTCTCACTTTCAGTCCAAATTCTGATATTCACTTCATATTTTTTATCATTAACTAGTTTGTTGGCTGATGTTTTGGGAAAGGTATTCTCCCACCCTAATTCCTCTTTATAGATATGGAGGGGTGCATTACAGTTGCAAGCCAGTAAACACATAGAACACACATCAGGAAATTACAGACAAATCAAAGCCATGCTTTACCTGACTATTTAAAAAAACTAAAGTAGATGAGGACTGGACGTCTATGGAACATTCATATTTCTTTAAGTCAAAAGTATTTGGTATTCCACTGATTCAGATCTAATGGAAATGTATTGGATAGAAATAACTCTCCTTTCCAAAGCTTTATTCTTCAGAGGAATAGTTTCTGAGAGTAGTTCCAGTTGTGGAAGCAGTGCAACAAGAACGGTTCCCATATAAGGGCCCCTTTGGAATGTCCTAGCTCCGTTAACATGGTTGAGTTGATATTTCAAGCCAAAGAAGCCATTTTTTATTTTCCTCTTGTTTTTATTTGTGTGTCCATTTTATTTGTATTTGTATTTGTCTCAGTGGGCAAAACATGAGGCTCAGAAGGGGCCCTCCCTAAGTTCTTGGGCTGTAGTAGGGGAAGGCAGGAGAATTGTACTTTCAGACTTGCAAGATTCTGTTAATGTAGCCTTACGATAAAGTTGAATTAGCTCATCTTGTTGTGTTTCCTGTACCGGGTAAGACTGACAGCTATAGATTTTTATTTTGTTTTGTTTTGTTTGTGGTTTTAATTTTTTGTAAGCCATCTTAAGGACCTTTGAAGGGCAAGTTATAAATGGAATGAATAAAGAAATAAATTTCCTCAGTGTCAGGATCCCAATCCAAATGGACTTCCTCTGTTCCAGAATTGCATTTTGATCTTTAAATAAAATACAGAGAGCATTCCAATTATGGATCTTTCATTCTGTCATTTATTTCTGCCCTTATATTGAAACCAAATAATCTATAACCAGATGCTGTAGAATTATTTAGAATGTTTTTTACACTTACAGATGTGCAAAAATCTGATGCCTGGACCATGTTTGAATTTCTAATAACTTATTGTCAAATCAATTGTTAATATTTTACATTGCCTTAGAATTGGCAGAGTTATAGGCAGCAGGTTCCATTTCAGCTTGGGGTTTCTTTTTGATAGAATAGAAAGTAGTGAAGATTAAAATCAGTACACCAACTAAATGATGGATGGAGATAATTTCTTTCTTCCCTTTTTCTTTCCTTCCAACTACGCAGCTGCTACCTTTATGGAACACTGGAAGAGAAAACAGATGCGGCTGAATTACAGATGGGATCTTACTGGCTTTGAAGAAGAAGAAGTATGTTAATTTTGTTATATGCTGTTTCATTGGTTGTTACATTAGCTAAATGATCTTTAATGTTCAGCTGGGGACCCATTGAAAAGGAAAATCCTGCACATATACCATTTCTAAATTTGGGAAGGGTGTGTTAGTATCAGTCTTGTTACCATGGAAGCATGAAGCCTTGGCTGCAGAATAAAGGTCATGCTTAGTAATGTGGGCATTAAAACATATATAGCTCAAGAATTATTCCCTTGATGTAGAAACCATAGTACGTGAACATACTCATAATTTGTTCAGTTTTGAGGATACAGTCACCATGATTACAAAAGTTTACAATTAGCCAAAATGTACTTGCTATATGAGTTCAAAATTAGTTAAATATTGCTTCTATCTAGCATATTGAATGGAGACTGAAACTCCTAACTTATATTAGTAATACCTAAGGAACACAAAAAAGGAAAATGTTTATCTTTTAAGAATGTTTTATTTCCCAGTTCTATTTGAAATTTAAGATTCCCTGGAAATGGTTTGTGAATAGCTGTGTTTACAGTACCATTTAAATGAAAAGGAGGTAAATCAGCCATTTAGTTTTAATTTTGAGTTTTTATTTACAAAGAAATGTATTGACCTGACAAATTTAAAATAGCCTTTAAAATATTTCTATGTTATCAAGTTCAGTATTCAGCCAAATAAATAAATGTCCTACTAACTATAAGTAGAAAGAGCCGGATCTCTTTGGAAGATTCAGTTGGTGGATTTAGCTCATGTTAAATCTTAGGGCTATACAATATATTTATTAAGCAGTAACACTAAAAGAAGTGCTGTTACTGGAAAAGAAGAGTAGTTACAGTCTAATTAATAATGTTCTTCAAGCCATTCTTTCTCTTTCAAGAGTTGTTCCACTTCTATGAATCTCCTACCCACCTCAAGTTTATTTTTTGTAATTTAGTTTTGACATAGTTGCAAGGGAAAAGGGAAATCACCCACCTCTCAGTCTGTCAGCAGAAACTGCTTCTGCTAACAGAAGTTCTAACCTTGATGAATGTCAATCCTGTTTTGCTTGTAAAACCTGCAGCAAAGATGACCAGTCTGTTCAGCCTCTCTAACGAATTATGTGCTAATAGTATAAACCATAGCTAATTATACTGAATTGATATTATACATTGAATTGATTAATCAGTTAATTTTGCATATTTTCATAAAAACATACTGGAGAAAATTAAGCTGTTCATTTTTTGATGATGCACATGTATGTGTCAGGGACACCTCCCTTTTTCAGTGGGGTTTATCAATCGCATTTTCTTTAAGTCATTATATCAATGTACAGTATATGGTTACTTCTGAAGTGTGTTGTTCAATTAATTAGAATGTTATCCTTCTTGAGCAGAAATTTATTAAATAATAGAGTACCTCATAGTTACATACATTTTGCAGCTGATGTCTAAAAATGGTCTTCAGTGGCAATTAATTGGTTAAGTCTGTGATTTCATTTGATCTCTGACCCAACAAAGCATTAACATAAATGACATGTTAAAATTGATATCTAAATCTCACTGTTGGGATGGTTTCATAGACACTATAAGACAACTGTTCTTTTATTTTTGGTATCTTGTTGTTAGCTTACATGAAAGTCGGAAGGATTAACTGTATCCTTGTAGTAGGAAATACCTTTCAGGATTATGTTCAATGTTCCCTGTAGTGATAACAGTGACCTGAGATAACTGCTGTTAATAGAATGTATTTTATTTTTCACTTAACATATTCCAATCCCAATAATTCAGTCCTATGATCAAAGCACTTGAGTATGCATTTAAATCCTGTTGAAGAAATGAATTTCTAATTTGTTGGAATACTGCCACACAAGTGTTATTTGAAGTAGTTATTTCAATAATAGTTATGTAAGAGCACAATGCACCCCATATGTTCCTTTGTTGCATACCATCAGGGTTCTGGGCCATAATACTATTCAGCTGTCTGGATCTTGAGTAAATGTGTTTGTATCATGCTGACAGTTCCAGAAAATAAATACAAAGGAAGTCCTTCCCCATGCCACACCCCATGGATATGGCTATGTACCCTCTAATTCTTATACAGTACCTACATTCACACAAATAAAAATAATTGTATCAAGAGTACAGTTTTGTAACAGTGAAGTAATTTTAATTTTTATGTTTTTTGTGTTTTTTATGGTTTCCTGAAGGAGGCAGTCAAGGTTTGGCATTTTTGTTTTGTTTTTTATAATTTCTCTCACTTTTTCTCTTTCTGCTGATGAAAGATGCATTTTGATGTCCTCTCATTTTTTCCCTGCATCTGTCTCGCTTTAGAATTTCCACTGCAATTATTCTTTCCTCTTTTATAATATCCTCAAATGGGACTTTTTCATATCCATCCAATCTCAGTCCAATGCATTTTTAAGGATAATCTCTAAATCTTTCAGTTGTCTCATTCTTTCCATTTCTGATTCTTTTCCACATATTTTCTCTGTATGTCTAACTAAACTGAAATTACAATTTATTAATTTTAATTAACAGAACTGAAATTAATTTTTGTGTTAAGACAGATCAAACTAATGTGTAGAGGAACATCCTTTAACTATACATTTAAGCTCAGATCAATTTACTGCCACCCCCTTTTTCCCATATATGACATGCAGTCTGTTCACATATGGCCTCTTTGCAATGCCTGGAAAGAACCATTCAGGTTTAAAACAAATTAAAAAATAAAACCTCCCTTCAGTCGATTTGAATTCCTGATGGCTTCATGAACATGTCCATATAGTTTTCTTGGCAACAGTAGAGAAATGGTTTGCCGTTGTCTTCTAGAACGTTTTCTTCAATCACACAGTCTAGCCCTCAGCCCGAAAATTCTTGTCACCCATCTAAACACTAATCAGGTCTGATCCTGCTTAGCTTCCAAGCCTAGATAAGATCAGCCATATGCTGTCACCTAGTGAGATTTAAAACATACACTGAGGGTGCAAACCAGCACATTGTGAAATTTGAAGTCCTTTGCTGCTATAGAAAATGGTTACAAGGCTGTGGCACTACCCCAATTACTATGCCTATTGGAGAAAGAACAACCTCAGTCTAGCAGCATCCTCACCATTAAGGTAAAGAGACTGCATAGGCTTAAGGCACAATATTTTTAGCCAGCTAGTGACAAAGAAAGACTTTTAAATTAAGTTATAGCAGAACTTTACTCAGATTTGTTGTAATAATTTGAAGTGATATCCAATGGGTCTCATGGCTCCTCTGTATATATGACTTATTTACAGGATCACCCAAGAGCTGAATATGAAGCTAAAGTATTAGAAAAATCTCTCAGGAAAGAATACAGAAGTAAAGAGGTAAGATAAAAATTTGTTTTTATTTTTTAAAAAAAATAATGTAAAAAAATTAAAAATATGATTTATTTTAAAAATCATAGCAAAGGGTTTTCACATTTATATTATCCATTGTAAAATATTACTATTCTAATACTGTTACTGTTACTGAGTGCAAAGAAATGGAATATTGAGGAAAAAAGAGAAAAGAAAGGCAGTTAGCGTCAAAAGTGCTACGGAATACTCATACTGAGTACTCAGAGTCAGTAATTTATTCAAAGACAGTACAGTTGTGAAAATAGCAGGGACTATTTTAAAAACCTTACTGAAATTAGAGGCATAATTTAGATTGCCTGTCAGATTTGAAAACAATTAAAATTACTTACCATGAAGAGCCCATCACTTGTGATCCTTGTGAAGATTTTGGAGCAGCAACCCAATGATACAGTGGATATCTTCTTTAAGATCTATGATTTTAAATCTTAGATCTTGAACTAAAAGTTCAATCTTTTAATTACTGAACTGAATTCCTTTATATGGCACAGTAGCACAAAAACATAACTTGGGAATTATTATTCTGAACCATGTTTCTAGGGTACTGAACTTAATTACATCTTAAAACAGGAGAGACATGTTGCATCAGACCAAAACCAATATAGTCCAATATTTTCTTCTTGAAGTAGTTTAACAGATGACAACAACAATCTTCTTCAGTCTGGCCCCTCTCCAGATGAATGGACTTCAACGCCCAGAATTGTCAGCAATGGCCAGACTGGCTGAGGAATTCTGGAAATTGAAGTTGAGGTCTGTCCATCTGGAGGCCTTCAGTTTTCAAAAGGCTAAATTAAAGGAAGCCCTCCAAGTGCTATTCAGAAGCATATTGGCTCTGATTAGGATTATGTGAATTATCTTTTTCAGTTTTTCAAGCACTAGTTTGTTGTGTCCCATTCCTGTATCAGTTTGCAAATACTTAAAAAAAAAACCCTTTGAATTAAAATGTATATGCATGTTCATAGCTGTGAAAAATGTGTAAACACATTATGTACAAAGTTTTATAGACACACTTCATAAGAATTGGAAAATTGTATCATAACATTTAGAGAATGCAAAACCCGAAGGATAATAGCAATCCAGTTCATACATAGGTTTGGGAGGTGTAAATTAAGTCAGATTTCCCCCCCAGTTCTCATTCTTATAGTAGAGATAACAACCATCAAGACTATAACCATGTTTATCCTGTATGAATTTGTCTTGGATGGCTCTGTTGAAATCATCCAAGTTGAAAGGCAAAATTACATTTTGTGATAGCATATTCTACAATTTAGCTCTTTGAGGACAAATGAAATAAAATGTTTTTCAATCTCCTACCATTTACTTTCATTCAGCAAACTTGGGTTTGAATACGATGAGACAAAGAAAACATTCTGTATCCAATTTTCTCGTATATGCATATTTTTACATATTTCTGTTATTTCCTTCTTTACTTCTATATGAGATACACCTAATGTTGAAACTTTTCCGCAGTTTCTCTGAGCCTTTAATTATTTTGGTTGCATTTGCCTGAATCTTTTTCAGTCTATAATATCTTTTTAAAAGTGTGCTAAGAGAATTATGTACAATATTTCATGTGTCATCATATCCTACATTTCTATAAAGCTTTGCAATGTCAGCAGTTTTATTTTAGAGTCAATCTCCTAGATAAAAATCACACCCAGGACTTGGTTGGCATGAAGGGTTGGAGGCATGAAAGAGCAATCAGTGGGGTCTACTTCTAAGTAAATATAAGGAAGAACCCAGTACAACTTCTACCAAAGATGGGGCAGAATAATTGAAGTCATTATTTTTTTAGACAAAGATGCTCTCCAAATGCTTTGTTGTATACACAGAAAATTGTTCTGTAATAGGCAAGATCTTCCTCCAAATATGTAAACAGGAAGTAGAAAATAACAGGAAAGAGGCTGAGTTTGTGGGTTTCACCAAACTACTTAGGATGAAGTCCAAAAGGATATGTCCAAACATAGGAATGGACAAGAAAATGGTAAATAAGAATAATTGTGAATAAATAATGAATGGTCCATGTTGGAGCAAAAAGAAAAATGTAACCACATTATTGACTGAGGGGGACTGGACGGGTATAACTAACCAGGTAGGAGATGATAAATAAAATAGTGTGCAAAAATGTTGAAATAGGTATATTCAATCTTAGAAATATATGTAGAAAGGATTTTTAAAAATGCCAGTGTTATTATTGCTTGGGTTATCCATATTAGAGTATGCTAAACAGTTCTACTCAACATACCTCAAAAAGGATAGTATGCAGTAAGAGGAAACAGGCTGACCTTCTGGATTTCTTCACATTTTGCTTTTGATTTCCTTGTTCTAAATAATTTGTTTCACCTGCAAGCATAGTCACCCCATTGTTCATTCTGATTCCAGATCATTGCTGAAATAATTAAATCACTCTGATTTATTATGTGCCGTCCAGTTGTTTTTTAATCTTAGTGACCACATAGATTTTCTCCATGACAATCTATCAGCTCTTTTACATACTGTGTAAATATAAAGTGCTTACACAATGTATGAACACTACTGTTGTTATTTTGCCAATAAATTGTGGTTATTTTCCTGTGGTTTTACTTTGAATTTTCTCTTTTATAACAATTTATATTACGTCATAAGATTTAACATCAGCACGTAGGCATCTTTTATTTATTTTTAAATTATATCATGTCCATATTCTATTCAGGGGATTATTTTATTTACATATGAGTCAGTGCTTTGTAACAGCCATATTGGATTATCCTTTTCTGTTTTCTTCAAATGCCATCAGAAGGGCCAGCAATTGCCAGAAGAGGCAGCCAACAAATGGCGACAAAGAGTTAAGAGAGTCATGGCTGGGGTGAAATTGGTACATTTCATTAACATTTGTGGAAACTTTCTGAACTATGAATAACTATAGAACACATTTTTCTTTTGTCTGTTTATTTTGTCATATCCACATATATGGCTTTCCCCTTCCACTGTCATCACTTTTGTTAAGATGGGTTTTTGCCTTTGTTTGGAATGGCACTGCATGGTTGATCTTTTCATACTGGTTGATGTGCAGCTCTTACAACACTGCACATGCCTTATGCTTGATGGGGTTGCCTGACCTTTTTTTTTTTTTTTTGATAGAAAGAGAGAGAACATGCATGTGATGCGCATGTAACATTAAATGCTTATTTTTCTTATAGGAGCCTTCTGTAATTATCTATGATCATTCCCTGCCCCCTAACTTTACATATAAAATGATCATAAAGACAATGCATATAAAAAAAAAAATCAGATCACCCAATGAACCGTGAACATAAGTATTTACTAACAATATTTATTTAGCAAATTTATATAGCCACCCATCTCACAAAATGTGATTCTGGGTGGTGTACACACATAATAACAATTAAAGACCATTATGGTCAAAAGTGAGTGTTATTAATACTGAACCCAGAGATGATTCCTATCCCCTTAAGCAACTGCCATACCTACAAGCACTCTGCTTCCAACTCTTTCCCCTCTTCTTACTTTCATTCACTTAAGTTTACAATAGGATAATAGGATGGAAGAAGAGAATCAACACAATGTCTGTATTCCCTCCTTTTATCTGAGTCCTCTTAAAGGTACAGCAGCATTTCTGAGCCGAGATCAGGCAAAACATTAAGACTGACAGATCTGGTTTGAAAAGCAAGAAACCCATTATACTGAACTATTACTTCAGGTTTTATGTCTTTGGCATCTTTTCTTTGCAAACAGAGTTCCATATATACATACCCATAATCATATTTTATGTTTATTTATTTATTTATCACATTCACCCCATATGTCTTCTGCAAAATACATAATACAGTATGCCACTTTTCATGCTTGCCAGACTCCAGTGTCCCTAAAATTTACTACGCTTGAGAGAACAGCTACTCTGTGTTGACATGAGGAAAGTAGAGGGATTCTGCAAATAATTTACTTGCTCTCACTGTCATTCTCCTGCTCCTATGAGTGATAACTTGGTTATAAATTAAGCTTTCAGGAAATATTCTAGTAATACTTTATTCTAAATGGAAAATTACATTAAAACGGACAATTTAAAATTAAATGGACAATTTAAACAACATCTGAAGGAAAACAGTACCTGTTTCCCAAACTAGATTGGGCTAAATATGTTTTGACAGCCCCTCCAAATAACTCTTTTTAAGGAGCTGCCTGCTTTTAGGACTGCATCTGTCTCCCCATAAAAAAGACTATCTGTTAGCAAATATTCTCCCATCCCTCTTCCCTCTGCATTATCTTGCACTCACCCCCTACTTGAAAGGGCTGGGGAAAATCCAGAACAGATGGTGGGGCTGCAAAGGAAAAAAGAGCAAATAAGAGTCCCATTGCCCAAACGAACCCTGTTTGTTAATACTAGGTATAGCTTCATACACTCATCCACAAATTTGTTCTATTTGGAGTAATTTGCAGACTGCCTGACATAGCTGTAGTTTGATGAAAGCCTCTGAATTGACTCACACTGTTGTGATGTTTACCACTTTTTAGAATGTTTACTTCTATTCGTGTGTGTTTGCACCACTATTGACTGATGCATTTGATTGTGATCTTGCCTAACTAAATCTGGATAGCAAGCAGAAATTAAAAAGATAACGTATTTAATTGCTATACTGAATTGCTGAGTGTTATGTCTTCTTTTGTGTGCTAGACTGAGAAAGAAAAACTGACATGGAAAGATCGTTTCCCAGCATACTTCACGAATTTTGTGAGCATTATTTTCATGGTAAGCATTATCTTGGAAACGTTTAAAATTATTTTCTTGGGCCAATCATCTTTCCAAAAGTAGGGATAATTTTCTTAAGGGAAGGGACAAACTTTTCCTTTATCTGTCTAGTTACATTTAACTTTCCCTAACCTCCCTAACTTTTTTCCTAACTTCCCCATCTGCCGGATGTATTGGAAGTGCAAATTTCAGAATTTCCAGCACATCTGGATGGTGCCAGTTTAGGGAACATTCCATTAAACAGTGCAGAAATTAGTTGATTGGCCTGTGTTTTTCAATTAATATATTTAAAAAGTTTGAAATTGATGATAGTGTTAATCCTTTTATTATTTATCCATGCCTTGTTGTAATTCTCACATAGGAATAATAAGGCTTGCGATGTTCCATGTTTATCTCCTTTCTTGGATATCCCTGCCCCTACAACTATGCTATCTGAACACTGTATTTTGCCAAACCTAATCTCTGAATTCCTTCCATCAGTCCCACAAAAAAATTACCACGTTACTGAAATCTCACAAGCTTTTAGAACTAGTTAAGGGGAGCAGCATATGACATCATATTTAATTGCTATGTTGAATTGACATCAGCTTGACATCAGTACCTGGGAAAACTATAAATAAGATTATTAAGCAGTGGGTTTGCAAGCGCTTAGAAAGAAACAAAGTGATTACTAGAAACCAGCATGGGTTTATTTAAAAATAGGTTATATCAGACTTTAAAAAATATTACTGCTTTTTTTTTTTTTAATAAAATGACTAGATTAGTAGACTAAGAGAATGCTGTGGATGTGGTGTACCTAGACTTCATGAGGCATTTGATAAAGTTGACCATAGCCTCCTTCTTCATAAAATGGAACAATGTGGGATGGTTGGTCCCATAACTAGATAGATTTGCAGTTGGTTAAACAATTGTACCCAGTGCATGGCCTCAGTGCTATTCGTTTTTCATAAATGAGTTAGATGAAGGGAAAGAAGAGATGTTCAGCAAATTTGCAGATGACACAAAGCTGGGGAGGATTGCTAACACCTCAGAAGACAGACTCATGATTCAAAAGGATCTTGATAGACTTAAACATTGGGCTTTTTCCAATGAAATGCAGTTACATGTCAAGAAATGTAGGGTTCTGCACTTAGGTAGGAAAAAAAAAGGTGTACAGGTACAAGATAGGTGGTACCTGGTTCAGCCATAGTACTTGCAAACCCACCAAGCCCCAGGAAGCCCCAGCTGCCCCAGCCCAGTCCCAGCCACAGTTGCCCCCACCACCCTGCACTGCAAGGCCCCTGCTGCCCTGCGCTCCACCACCACAGCTGACCTTTGCCGTCTTCTTGCTCCTGCTGCTGACAAGGAGTGCCTGCCCTGGCCCTTCACAAGGCAGCTGCTGGCCAAGTGAGGCCATCTTCATCAGATCTCACAAGGGAACCACTGTGTGCAACCTGGGGAAGAAAGCCTTGTGCAGCCAGCAGCTGCCTCACAAAGGGCCAGGCATGCTTAGTCATCAGTGGAAGCAAGAAGACGGCACAGGTCAGCTAGGGTGGTAGGGGCCAGGGAGTCCAGGGGTCCAAAAGGGCATAGATGGGGGGAGATAGGTGGGTGGGGGGAGTTGAAGCACCCCTGCAGTCATAAGTGCAGGCAGGCTGCCAAGTGCCCAAGTTTTGATTACGTGACCGAGGGGGCACTGCAATGCAGGGACTGGTCATAAGTCCCTTTATTCAACACAGTCATAACTTCAAATGGTCGCAGAACGAATGGTCATAAGTCAAGGACTACCTATAGTTATGGGTGCTCTATCATTGAAAATTTTCAAATAAAGATTGGCAACCACTTGGCTGGGATGGTCTAAGGATTCCTGCCTTGGGCAGGGGGTTGGACTAGAAGTCCTCCAAGTTTCCTTCTAACTCTATCAATCTATGAACATAGGATTGCAGATTTTTTTATTGTATTGATGATTATGAACTGAACCATAAGCAGAATTCACAATCATTATTTTATTATATTTCCTTTACTGTTCTAGCTATGTTATATTAAAACTTCATGGTTGATATTTTTCTCATTACCTTACTATAATTATATAGTAATACTATAATTATATAGTTTCTTAGTGAGTGGAGGGTGTAACTGGATAATACCTATTTTTCTGTAAACCATATGCGAGCATGTAGCTTTTGTAATAGTATAATTTGCACAAGTGATTGAAAAATTTCCATACAAACTAATTTTGGCCACAATAATATTGTGAACCTAATCTTTTCATAACCAGTTATGTTCTTCTTTTCAGATTGGGCTGACATTTGCTATTGTTTTTGGGGTTATTATATACCGTATCTCCACTGCAGCTGCTTTAGCCATCAGTTCCTCTCCAGGAGGCAGGTCGAATGTTAGAGTGACTGTCACAGCCACCGCAGTGATTATTAATCTAGTGGTGATAATAATCTTGGATGAAGTGTATGGCTGCATAGCTAGATGGCTAACTCAGATTGGTAGGTACTTATCCTCCCATTATTTGACTTACAATTATGATCTCATTAAAAGATCTGTCTAACCAAAATAATTCAGCTTTGACTTTGCAAGTAAAACTACATAGGAACAACCCTTGAGCTAATAACCTAAAAGGATTCTTGGCATTAAGGCATTCACATCTTTCAGTAACTAATATTGGTTTAATTATAAGTGTGGACATATTTAAATTAATTTAGAGCCTTGTCACCTTGGAGAACCAATTTTTTTAAAACTGAATAACACAATTTATTTTCATTTCCAGTCATTGCTTACTTCAAGAGGAATATAAATCAAGAAGTGAGAAATAGAGGGGTCCAGACACTTCTCAATATGAATTTCTTTAATGAAAGCAGAAAAGAAATATTTTTATTGTACAGTAATCCAGCCAGATTAACATTTCACATGCCTGTGGTCCACATACTGTAGAGCCAACAGGAGTGTATCAGCTCTGATCAAATTATTCTGGGTGGCTGCCAGGTGCAATAGGTTTTCTAGTTCTACCTTTTCTGTGAAGACAAGATTGTCCATATTCAGTGCCCACAAATATCAGCCTGTATACTCTACCTTAATATATCATTCTTTACAATTGTTACCAACATTTATGCCATCATTTATAACTTCAGGAAGTAATTTAACCACCAGGAATGTATTTACGTGCAAATTTATTGTGCAGTCATGAGATCTTGTTATTGAGATGTTTCCTTGTTTGATTTACAGCCCAGTCATAAAATTCAAACTATGGTTTTTCTTCTCTGTGGTAGATATATTGTATTAAAGATACTAAGGCTAAAGCAAACTACCAGAGAGACCTGTTGTGGCATTTTATTGCTCAGACAATGGTATGTGTACGGTATAGGATGTCTCTGCAGTATCTCTCTGTATGCATACTTTTTTTACTCCATGACTGATAGGCAAGCTGGTCTGAATGACAGAGCTGTGCAATGGCAGTGGGGAACTGCACGGGAAATAGCCATACTAAATGCTCCTGTATTGGTGTGGGGACTTTCCAATAGGCAGTGTGCAAGTCAGTTTGTAGATTTCTGAACGTGCTCTGTAAAGACAGAGACATTCCTTTCTCATCATTTTTGTTTTGTCATCTAATACTCTCTTAGCTTAGCAGTTTACTGTTATAAACAGCAGCCTTACTGATCACACAGAATTTGAACAGAAATTACAGAGAAGTACTTATTCATTTTAGTAGACTTATGATACGTGATTTAAGATGAAAATTGAAATCTAACTCTTAGTCTAAATAGAACAAGTATACAGAAATATACACGAAAAGGTGTGTTTGAGGAAAAAAACATAAATGTTGAATGCCAGTGAGATTCTTCCATTTTATTAGTATATTTATTTTGTATATATGAAATTGTAATATAGTTGTTCTCTTCATTTATTTCCCTATGGTTTTGTGCAGGCTGTCTTTTTCAACATCCCCAACTTGAAATAAATATAGTATTCTTTAGAAATTATTAAAGAAATGAAGGGAATTCTTCCAAGTTTAAAGTTTTCAATGTTCTATAATATTTAGTAGTCTGGATTAACCTTTCAGTCACTTTTGCATTAATCTTATTTACCTCAGAGGTACCAAAAACAGACAAAAGTTTTGAAGAACGACTTATCTTCAAGGCCTTCCTTCTGAAATTTGTTAATGCTTACACTCCCATTTTCTACGTTGCTTTCTTCAAGGGCCGGTAAGTGGCATAGTTAATTAATTGCTTCGCTATTATTTTAAGCTGTTTCAGAGCCTTTGTACAAACAAGGGTAGCTATTTAGAGGGACTGTCACTTGAGTTTCCCAGGCTACACCTGCCTTCATCTCCAGTTAATAAGCTCATAAAGATTAACTGAATTATGTTAGCATAGTATTCACCCAATATATTGTGTTGGTTGTGTTTCTGTTAGGAGCACTTTTTCTGCATAATAGAAGAATGGTTGGCTTATGGGTACAAATAAGAAGGGATATTGCTAAATATTGAGACAAAAATGTGCTTTCATAGGTTAAAAATTAAGTGTTTACTCAGCATATGTTCATGCTCTTTTAAGTTGTTACACATAGAAGCATTTACAAAGGTAAATGGCAGTCAGCAGCTTTACTACTTTCCTCATCAGGTTGAGGAAGATTGATCTCTAGAATGTTGTTGAAAATACCACAATGGAAAGTTTCCAGAAGCACAAAGAAGGTGTGGAAAACCAGTCTTACTGATACATTCCCTTGCATTGCTTCTCTTGAAACTCTGAAGGCTCATAGGTTAGCTACTAAAGCAATGCCCAGAACTGCAATCAGAATAGGAAACTGGGAATAGCAAATAAGGCTTTTTTGAACTCTCTTCATTGATAGAAAGGATTTAATCCAATAAATAAATTAATTGGATCCTCCTCAGAATCCACAAGAATCTTTATATTCTTTCCATTAATCATATTTAACATTAATAAACCCAGCTCAAGGGCAAATTACTTCTTTGAAAAATGTCACTGATAACTTTCGTGTTGATAAAAGTGAACATATTCCTGATAGCTAGATTTGCTTTTCTGTATTTTCTTCTCTGAAATCAAATTAATCATTCACTGTTCAATATGTATCTATGTAGACTGTCTTTGGAGGCTTGTGAAACATTGCAGGAAGAATCTGAAAACTTGTTTTTATAACACAGAGTAAGTCTAATCATTGTTTCCAAATTGTCTAGATTTGTTGGACGCCCAGGAGATTATGTCTACATTTTTCATTCTCTTAGAATGGAAGAGGTAACTGTACTTTAAATTGTTCGTGCATCTAGAAAACAGCTCTAAACATTCTGTTGGGGTATATGGATGTCCCCAATTTGTTTGTTTTTTTCCCTCTTTTAGTGTGCTCCTGGTGGTTGCCTGATGGAATTGTGTATACAACTTAGCATTATTATGTTGGGCAAACAGCTGATTCAGAATAATCTTTTTGAAATTGGCATCCCGTAAGTAGTAAGGAATAAGAATGTATTAACTACCTTTTCAAAATGCTTGCATATCGTTTCTTGATAGATTAAATATCCATTTTTTCTTGTTTGACATGCATGCAGTGCAAGAAAAAGTTAGAATGAGGATATACAAAGTTTAAAATAGCATGTGTTTGTTTTATTACTTTAGTATTTGTTTTGTTAGTTCAATAATTTTGTATTTACCTGAAGGATTATTTTTCCCTTGCAAATAATTTATCTTTAAAATGTTTGAACCATATTTGATTGAGAATATTGTAATGAAGGCAGGTAGGGTATTTTTGTTGTTGTTGTTGTTCTATTTTCCTTGGGGAGGAAGGTTGATTGTCTTAAATTCAGGAATATTTTTCTTATCAGTAAATCTTATAGTCTGCATTTCAACAGTGTTTTCCCAAAGTATTGCATCATATCACTTAATAAATAAGAACTATGACCCTACAGGGAGGCCAAGTTCAGCCAACTTAGTACATAAACAGAATAGGACCAAACACTCAAACTAAGATCAAGTATATGGAATAAAAGCCTTCATTGGCTTTTGGCTTCAATAATTGTTCAGTGGCTACATTTTTGAACATTCCTGATCAGGTTGGTGGAGGCTGATGGAAATTAAAATTGCCCAATGATTAAGTCTTCTTTGTCTGTTTAGAAGACAGTAAAGAAATTTGTTTATTCTATTTCATTTATTTTTCCAGGAATTTTTGCAGATATTTGGAGCTCTTGTGTTCCCAATAAAACTAGGAAGCCTATTGGTCCTATGAACTAACATATCACACATTAAACAGAAAGGAACTTCAGGAGAAACTCTTGTTGGGGTGGAGATTACATAAAAATGTTGGTGGAGTACATATAAAAAGTCTTGGGCACTTTCACAGGATTCTTTGGATACCATTCCAGACCCAAGAGAATTCAAAACAGAAGGCTGTCATTCAGCTACAAGTAATTTGGGGCTTTGCTTTATCTTTCAAAGAACTTCATAAATTATTATAAAAATGGAAATCCAAGTCTCTAAATGTTATTATGAAACTTATAAGGCATCTAAAGCAATTACTTTTTCCCATTCTTAGAAAAATGAAAAAATTTATAAGATACTTGAAGCTGAAACGACAAAGTCCTGTAGATCATGAAGAGCATTTGAAGAAAAAACAGCGCTATGAAGTAGACTATAATCTAGAACCTTTTGCTGGCCTTACTCCAGAATACATGGAAATGAGTGAGTAAGACTTAAAATATTCAAAGTGGGGGTGCCTAGCTGACTCCCTGCTCTGCAGTTAACTAGACTTGTATTCGTTCAATATTTTATTATCCATTCAAAATTTTATTGACCAGCCTCAGACTGTTATGTTTTACAGCTTTCCAGTTCTTTCTTTTTTCCAGTTCTTTCTTCATGCAATATATGATTCAATAGCAAAAGATGTCTTACCCCTTTAAGAAGTTCCTATTACTTGAAGTTTTAATGCATATAATTTCCAGAGGAGTATCCTTGATCACGAGGCTCAACTCTCAGTCACTCATTCCCTGACACCTCCCAAATGGATTACAGCAATGCTCTGTATGGGGCAGCCCTTGAAGGTTCAACACAAAATGCAGTAGCACGGGCAGTTATTTGTGCCCCTATATTAGTGCACGTTACACCTCTGCTCTGAGGGCTGCATTGGCTGCCAGATTGCTTCTGAGTTCAATTCAAGATGCTGGTTATTTAATATTTATTTATTAAACCAATTTATATAGCTGCCCATTTCACCACAAGTGATTCTGGGAGGTGTACAACAAAAGTTAAGCTATGATCTTTAAAGCCCTACATG